AGCCTTCATGTTAAAAAAGAAAGGAGTGGTCCATGTCCTTTACAGAGCTTGCAAGTATTATTTGTTTTTTTACAATATGAAATTAGTTGTTAAATCTTAAAAATTGGACGCTGTCTCACTCTCTCTCTCATGCACACACATAATGATTTACCAGTCTGTCTTGAAAATTCTGATTTGGCAAGACTAAACCTACATTCTTACAAAGCAGTAATGGCAGTAATTTTATGGGGCTTAAAAAAAAACACCTCGGGCCGGGCGCGGTGGCTCACACCTGTAATCCCAGCACTTTGGCAGGCTGAGACGGGCGGATCACGAGGTCAGGAGATCGAGACCATCCTGGCTAACACGGTGAAACCCTGTCTCTACTAAAAATACAAAAAATTAGCCGGGCGAGGTGGCGGGCGCCTGTAGTCCCAGCTACTCGGGAGGCTGAGGCAGGAGAATGGCCTAAACCTGGGAGGCGGAGCTTGCAGTGAACCGAGATCACGCCACTGCACTCCAGCCTGGGCAACCGAGCAAAATTCTGTCTCAAACAAACAAACAAACAAAAAACAAAAGAAAAAAACACCACCTCTTCAGAGACTTTGCCATAGTAGCATGAAACTTTATCCTGCACCTAGCCTAATTAATATTTTTGTCTTTAGGTATTTTATTTTGTGTCCCTTATGATATATGTGATGTTTATCATATTATTCTTTCTGGTGATTGTTGCCTTGAAACCTAACGACTACTTGCAAAAATTTTTGTAGGTGAAATAAGTTGGGATTACAAATGAGAGACCAGTAACTGATCACTTATTCTAGTGGGTTTGGATTCACTCCATTTTGTGTTGCCTTGGAATTTTCTGCAGATGTTCACTCCTTCCGTAACTGTTGGTTACTTCCTTGGTCTGGGAACAATACTATCAGATTTACATTCAGAAAAACAAGAAACAAAAAAAACTTAGTTTGGGTGTGTAGTATGGATTCAAGAGAGTTAAGACTGAAGGATAAAGGACCAGATAGGAGATTATATAACCAGTAGGTACTTTGGTTGTGAAGGTTAGGGGAGGGTTGTGGACTGGATATATACGTTCGAGAATCATTTGCAACAAGTAGTTGTTGATTCAAGAAATAGAATACAAATTGGGGCTAGAATGGTATCTTGAGAAAACTGACATGGAAGAGGCACATGTAGGAATAGTAACCAACAAGACTGAAAAAGCAGGGTTGAGAGCTAGGAGAGAAATTAAGAGTGGTATCATGCAAAGCAAAGGAAGAGTTTTGAGAAGGAAAGAGTAAACAATAAACTAAGTGAAGCAGAGGAGTTAAGCAAACTAAGAATTAAGAAGTAACATTGGATTTTTCAGCTAGGTTATTCCTGTCCTGATAATAAAATATTTAGTTTCAAGGATGTAAAGATTTGCTAAACTCTGGGACGGTCTATGTGAATTTATTAATGTTGAAAGAATGGAATCTCATTCGTTCTAATTCCAACCAAATAATTTTTTTCATGTAACAGCATCATGGAAAGTAACAAAAAAGAAAAAAAAAACCCAGTAATCTGTTTATGAAAAGAAGTAAATGATAAATGAATAATACACTAAGGATACTTTGAATGAATATGTAAAATTACCATCCAAACTGGGACACTTTTGAGAGGGAAAGGGATAGTTGTTAATAATTACAATAGGTATGAACCACATCTGTCCCAGCTAATCCAGGACTAATGGTCACTGGAATTATAATTCACATTTATTCAGTGCTTAGCTATTGTAGGAGCCAAAGGGGCAAGTTACCCTTGGCCTTCTGAAGGTTCACCAAAAAATCAACCTGCAAATGACAGATTAATTGGAAAAAGGCATACAAATTTATTTAACATGCATACATAGGAGCCTTCAGCATGAAGATCCAAAGATACCGGGGAAGTTCTCTATTTTTATGCAAAGGCTCAACAAAGTCTGGACAGCTATGTAGAAATATTGGAGGAAAAGGGTGTGATTTAATGCTGATAGACTGAGTGAAGAACTCCAGCAAGGCCTGTCTGTCTAGATTCTTCCTGGCCTCTGAGCATGCATTCCTTCCTGGTATGGGGCAGGACTTTCTGGGGATCTGAAGACCTACAGTCAAATAGGATAAGTCTTAACAGCAAGTTATTGCACAGAAAGGTAAGGGAAAAATTAGAGTAATATTTTTAGGTTTTGACTAGCTTTGGGGAAAGGGGGCTCTGATTTCTAGGACTTCCCTTGCGGAGGCAGGATTCTAGTTTCTGTGGCTAGCCTCCGAGGAAAATGGGACTGAGAGACAGGAGTGCAGAAGATCAGAGACAAACTTTGCTTTCTGAGGCTACTTCTGAGGTCTTCATTTTGGGATATTGCTTTCTGAGCCCCAATACTACCAGACAATAAGAAGAGTTCTTTATTGGTTTATCTCATGACTAGTTTTAGTTGACATTTGTAATTCTTTCTTTGTATATGGTGAATTCATTGACATATATACTCTGCATAATTTTGGTGACTTGTTTATTTAAAAAAAAAGGTGCCCACTATATACCGAGCTCTGTCCTAAGGTATGGGAAATGAAGATGATTAATACATAGTTCTAGTTGTTAATGATCTACCAGAATACTTGTGATAATCTGCAAATTAAATTTTAATGTATTATAGTAAAGTGTCATGTTGATAGTGTGGTTTGTGAAGACCTCAACTAGTATTTTAGTACATTATATACTATAATTTTTAGAATTAAGATTATAGTGTATTTGAATTCTATAAGAAAGAGTTTGTTTTAAAAAGTTTTATCAAGAGAAAAGAAAAAGTACAGCTAGTTGTACGTATAAGTGGGATTTTCTCTATCATAAAAAGTATATTTCTGTGTGTGTGTGTGTGTGTGTGAATAGTTCAATTCTTTATCACAAAGGGATGCATTTCCATATTGATAATGTAATTGTAGCCACACTAAAGCTATATCCTGTGAAGAAGAGTCTGGCATACTTCTCTGACACATCTGGTAGATATGGATGACATTAATTAGCATATGTATTGCTATAAATGACATGTCAGTTCAGGACAACAAAAAGTATTTGTTATTGATGTCAATCATTTATCCTTTGTCAGTTCAAAAAGCTTCCCTAAAGGAATGTGCATTGATCTGCACTGACCCAAAATACTGCAAAACCATTTCTGTGTTCTGGAAACTAAAGCAGAACTACCTGTGCTTGAACTGCCATGTGGATATATTCATCTAGAAAGTGCCTGTTGATAAGTTTCAGTACTAAGGCTTTCAAATTTGGCCAAGATTAGTTGAATCTTTAGAAAAGAAAACAAAACACCTACTCTAATCCCAAAGTCTAGTCTTCAGTGGATATAGCTTTAATCTTTGGTAATGAAATTTATGTTTTTATTTCACCTTGAAATAATTTTGAAATATTCCAGGTAAATAATTGCAAATATCATTTACATTGGTTAAAAACAAGAAAATTGCACAAGTGTCAATTCATGATCAGATGATGGTTTAAAGAGGTGCCCTTTTGCCCACATATATTTTACTTTTTGTATTTTAGCTATTCTGATATAGATGTTTTTTGGCTTCATTTTACTATTTTCTCACAATAGTTTTTTTTTTTAAATAAATACCACCAGTATATTGTGTTAAGTTTATGAGCAAAAACTAACTTTAAAGTGCTATCATACACATTTCCCCTAAACGCATACGTGTGTGGGTGTGTATGTATGTATATAATTTTGCTTTAAATGTTCCCCCTGAATTCCAGTTTATTATTTAGTGGAAGGGAATACTAGTGATTTTAAGATAAGGCAAGGGGGTATGATCCAGGTAATGGCACATGTTGAAGACATTTATCTTTTTTTTTTTGTGAGACAGAGTCTCACTCTGTTGCCCAGGCTGGAGTGCAGTAAGTAGCATGATCTCAATCTCGGCTCACTACAGCCTTTGCCTGCTAGGTTCATGCAATTCGCGTGCCTCAGCCTCCTGAGTAGCTGACATTACAGGCGCATGTCACCATGCCTGGCTAATTTTTGTATTTTCAGTAGAGACGGGGTTTCACTATGTTGGTGAAATCAGGCTAGTCTTGAACTCCTGAGCTCAAGTGATCTGCCTGTCTTGGCGTCCCAAAGTGCTGGGATTACAGACGTGAGTCACCATACCCGGCCGAAGATATTTATATTAATTCTTAAATTTAATGAGGCAGAAAATACCCATTATTGGAAACTTAGGTTTTTATAAAATTTGAATATAGAGCAAGTTCTCTTAAATTTATGAATGTTCATCTCACCAAAGGTCCGATATGCATATATCACATTTCTGTGTTCTTGTAAAGAAAGGTGGGATATGTTGCATTTTTACATCTTATAAATTTGTTTGAGAATTAAGATGAAACCAGATTTAGAACATACCCAGGTTAAATAGTCTAAGATGTACAATATACCTTGCTTCCGTAGCAGTTTCCCAACCTTTATACCATTAAAAAAATCTCATTCCAGATTTCTTGCTGTCTTACAGACCCTGTACTCTTTTTTGTCTGTTTCATGTTCTTAAAATTGTCTTTTTTATTATTCCATTAAAATTTTTAAAAATATATTTTCCTTTACACTTTTCTAATCATCCTGTAATTCTTCAGCCCTAAGACATTAAAAAACTGAGTAAAAGTATCTGATACCTAATCGTCTTTGCCAGCCCATTCAAACTTATGGATTTGCAAAATTATGTTAAAGTCTTTAAAAAATACATTTGAGTAGGCTTTTGTAGTCATTTAGATTTTTAATATTAATTTTCTCCTGCTATGCTGCTTAGCCATAAAAATGAGAAAGAAGATAGATGTGGGTTTCTTTTAGTGGTGTTAATTTAAATACTAGATTTATTTATTATAATGTTTAACAAGGCAATTTTTATATTTCTGTTCACCTCATATCCAACAGGGGAAGCTTCAGCCCCCCAGTACAGTAAGAAAAAAAAACTGATGCATTTTTGTAATAATTGATTAAAAGTATAATTTCCCTCTAGATCAAACAAATGATAGAAGTCTGTTGAAGCTTTGTCCTGACCTATCCTGGAAGTAGAAGAATACTCTGGAGAAGGGAGCATTGTAAGCACAAAGAATAAGATTCCTCAATCCTGAGAGAGAGAATTAAAATCTAACTCTCCAAATGTAAGTTGTCTGTATTCTACATATTTTTCATCCCTCAGTTTTTATTGCTATTCAGGTTTTAGTAGAAATAATGTGTTGACAATATTGTTTGGATTTTTTTCCTCTACAAAATATGCAGATGTTTTGGTTGTAACTTCTAAATTTTGATTTGTGTCAATACTTACTAACATAATATAAAGTGATACCTTATAATAATAATATTTAATGTAAAATAGATTAATATTAATTGTATTTTCTGGTGGAGAGCTGTTGAGATTTTTGAGTATTCTGATGAAAAGAAGGAAATTTCCTTTGATATAGTATCTGCAGTTTTGCCATTATAATCTGTTTTTGCTCTAAACTTTGTTTTTTTTTTTTTTCTTTTTTATTTCTTCATGTCTGAGAATAAGACTATCTTAATATGTCTGCTTGAATCTACCACCTGGTAAAAGATACATTAATTTCTTTATTCCCTCAGCATGGTGAAATTTAATTGGACTGAATTTGTATCCATAATCTGCTACACAAATGTATCAATTTTGTTGGCTCAGTGTACTGGAAAGACTGATTCCCTATCTGTTAGGAAAAACTTAAAAGATACGTATTAATGATTATATAGAAACACAGAATTTTGTTGCTGTTCAGAAGCTGGTAGACAGAAGGAAGACTGAAGCTAAATACTTGTCTTAGGACAATTACTTAGGAAGAAATCCCTTGTTCTATGTGACGACCTTTTTTTTTTTTTTTTTTTTTTTTTTTGAGACATTTTTTTTTTTTTTTTGAGATGGAGTCTCTGTCACCAGGCTGGAGTGGAGTAGTGCGATCTCCTCACTGCAACCTCCGCCTCCTGGATTCAAGTGATTCTCCTGCCTCAGACTCCCCGAGTAGCTGGGACTACAGGCGTGCGCCACCACACCCAGCTAACTTTTGTATTTTTAGTAGAGACGGGGTTTCACCGTGTTGGCCAAGATGGTCTCGATCTCTTGACCTAGTGATCTGCCCACCTCAGCCACCCAAACTGCTGGTATTACAGGTGTAAGCCACGTGCCTGACCCAAAACATTTGAAAATAATTGAACTAGATAGAAAAACCTTGAAGAAATACTACAAAACTTATCATTGTTTTCACTAACATGAAACAACTTTTCTTATTGAAAAGCATGATGAAACTTTAAAAGCCTATTTAAATTTGGTGGGTCAGTAGTGCGCTCCCATTCATGGTTTGAGGCTGATGAAGAATTGGAAAATAATGCCGTTCACAGAAAAATCTTGGTGACTCTCTGCTCTACAGAAATATAATGAACAAATTATATCACAGATTATAATGGCTGAACTACAGAAATACAAAGTTGAGTGGAAAACCTCTACCCCCCCAAAATTATACAGTATGTTTAATTTATATATAGATAAATTGGAACTTATATATATATAAATTGAAACATATACATATATATAATTCCAAAGTAAAGTTTAGTGTTTGGGGATGCAACAAGTGAAGATAACAAAATTGGAATAATAGTTAAATTGTAGGTAGGTAGTAAATTGAGATGAAGGTTCCAGAATTTTCTGGTATGTTGGAAACGTTCTGTTTGTTCACCTATCTGATAGTTGCATGGAGGTTTGTTTTATGAAAATCTATTGGTGAGAAACTGGATGCTTTTCTGCTAAGGTCAGGGACAAGGCAACGATGTTCCTTCTCACCACTCCTATTCCACATTATACTGGAAGTCCTAGCTAGGACAAGAAGACAAAAAAAGGAAACAAGAGACATTCTGATTGGGAAGGAAGAAATAAAACTGTTGATTTGCAAGTGCCATGATTGTCTATGTAGAAAATCCCATATAATCAATAACGACATTAACTCCAGAAACTAGTGAGTAATTAGTGTTAACACAAGGTTAATATACAAAAGTCAATTGCTTTCTCAGATGCCAGCAATGAACAATTGGGGTTTTAAATTAATAATACAATACTATTTATATTAACAGCAAAAATATAAATACTTAGGTATAAATCTAATAAAATATGTATAAGATAAATATTAGGGAAACAATAAAACTCTGATGAAAGAAAATCAAAGAAGATCTAAATAAATGGAGAGATAGTCCCTGTTCATGGATAGATGGATTCAGTATTTAGATGTCACTTCTTCCTAAGTTGATATGTATATTCAACACAATCCCAGTCAAAATCCCAGCAAGTTATTTTGTGGATATTGACAAGCTAATTCATGAGTTTATTCGGAAAGGAAGAGTCCCATGTTAGCCAAATAATATTGAGGAAGGAAAAGAAAATCAGAGGACTGACAGTCCCCAACTTTAAGACTTAGTATAAAGCTAAGTAATGAAGACAATAGGGTATTGTTGAAAGAACATAGATAGATCATTGAAACAGAGTAGAAAACTCAGAAATGGACCCACAGAAATATAGTCAATTCATCTTTAACCAAGGAGCAAAGGCAATTCAAGGAAGAAAGGACAGTCTTTTCAACAAATAGTGCTTAAACGACTGGACATTTATGTGTTAAAAAAGTTAATCTAGAGAGACCTTATACCTTTCATGAAAGTGAACTCAAAATGGATCACAAAGCTAAATATAAAACAAAAAACTATGACTTCTAGAAGATAACATAGAGGAAAATGTAAGTAACCTTGGGTTTGCTGATGACTTTTTAGATAGATCAAAAATATGATCCGTGAAAAAAATTAATAAGTTGGATTTCATCAAAATTAAAAATTTCTGTTTTGAGGAAAGCTACTGTTAAGAAAATGAAAAGATAAGCCACACACTGGGAGAAAATATTTGTGAAACAGGTATCTGATAAATGATTTGTATCTAAAATATACTACGAAGAGCTCTTACAAATAATAAGAAAACATATGACCAGGTGCGGTGGCTCATGCCTGTAATCCCAGCACTTTGGGAGTTCCAAGCTGGGCAGATCGCTAGGTCAGGAGATCAAGACCATCCTGGCTAACATTGTGAATCCTCATCTCTACTGAAAATACAAAAAATTAGCCAGGCATGGTGGCATGCACCTGTAGTCCCACCTACTCAGGAGACTGAGGCAGGAGAATTGCTTGAACCTGGGAGGCGGAGGTTGCAGTGAACCAAGATTGCACCACTGCACTACTGCCTGGGTGACAGAGTGAGATTCCATCTCAAAAATAAATAAATAAATAAAATCAGAAAACATATAACTCAATTAAAAATTGGGCAATAGCTCTAAACATACACCTAACTAAAGAAGATTTACATATGGCGAGTAAGCATATGAAAAGACGCTCAATATTGTATGTCATTAGATAATTGCAAATTAAAACATTGAGGTACCAGTACAGACTTACTAGAATGACAAAAATCCAAAACACTGATAACACCAAATGATGGTAAGGATGTGGAGCAATGGGAATTCTCACTCATCGCTGGTGGAATGCAAAGTCATACAGCCACTTTGAAAGACAATTTGGTACTCTCTTACAAAGCTAAACATAGTCTTACTATGTGATCCAGCAATGACACTCCAAAGTATGAAATGAGTTGAACTCCAAATGAGCTGAAAACGTAACTCCACACAAAAACTTGCACAAGAACATTTATAACACACAGCTTTAGGGTATTGGTTAAGCATCCCAGATGTCTTTCGATAGGCTAATGGATAAACAAACTGTGATACATCCAGAAAAGGGAATATTGTTCAGTAATAAAAAGAACTACCAGACCACAAAAAGACATGGAAGAACCTTAAATGCGTACTGCTAAGTGAGTGAAGCTATATGAAAAGGCTGCATACTGTATGATTCCAACCACAGGCATATGCTATTTTGTGGTGGTTCACTTTGTTGTGCTTTGCAGAAACTATGTTGTTTTACAAATTGAAGGTTTGTGGCAACCCTGAGTTGAGCAAGTCTATTGGTGCCACTGATATGCTTTGGCTCTGTGTCACCACCCAAATCTCATCTCACAGCTCCCATAATTCCCATGTGTTATGGGAGGGACCCAGTGGGAGATAATTGAATCATGGGGCCAGGTCTTTCCTGTGCTGTTCTCGTGATGGTGAATAAGTCTCAGGAGATCTGATGGTTTTAAAAATGAGTTTGGGCTGGGCACAGTGGCTCAGGCCTGTAATCCCAGCACTTTGGGAGGCTGAGGCAGGCAGATCAGGAGGTCAGAAGATTCAGACCATCCTTGCTAACATGGTGAAACCCTGTCTCTACTAAAAAATACAAAAAATTAGCTGGGTCTGGTGGCAGGCGCCTGTAGTCCCAGCTACTCGGGAGGCTGAGGCAGGAGAACGGCATGAACTCAGGAGGCAGAGCTTGCAGTGAGCAGAGATTGCACCACTGCACTGCAGCCTGGGTGAAAGAGCAAGACTCCATCTCAGAAAACAAAACAAAACAAAAAAAGAAAACAAAAAAAACCATGAGAGTTTGCCTGCACAAGCTTTCTCTTTGCATGCTGCCATCCATGTAAGACATGACTTGCTTCTCCTCACCTTCCACTATGATTGTGAGGCCTCTCCAGCCACATGGAACCGTGAGTTTATTAAACTGTTTTCCTGTATAAATTACCCAGTCTTGACTATGTCTTTATGAGCAGTGTGAAAATGGACTAATACAGTAAATTGGTGTCAATAGAGTGGGGCACTGCTGAAAAGTTACACAAAAATGTGGAAGTTATTTTGGAATTGGGTAACAGGCAGAGGTTGGAACAGTTTGGAGGGCTCAGAAGAAGACAGGAAAACATGGGAAAGTTTTGAACTTCCTAAAGACTTGTTGAATGGCTTTGCCCAAAATGCTGATAGCGGTATGGATGATAAAGTCTAGGCTGAGGTAGTCTCAGATGGAAATGAAGAACTTGTCGGGAACTGGAGCAAAGGTGACTTTTGTTATGTTTTAGCAAAGAGACTGGTGGCATTTTGTCCGTGCCCTAGAGATTTTTGGAAATTTGAACTTGAGAGAGATGATTTAAGATATGTAGCAGAAGAAATTTCTAAGCAGCAAAGCATTCAAGAGGTAACTT